GGGCTAGAGGGAGGCAGACAAAAATCATGCTGGAAATAGAAAGCTAAAGACGATGCAAGTGCTGAGCTCCCTGGAAATTTTAAGACCAGAACAACAAGAAATAGTACACCTAAAATAAGACAGTCAAAATGTCAATGTCTGGATTAGCCAAACTGTCCTGATCTAAACCCTAAACTTGGGAGAAGTCACCACTTAGAGGCACTGGGATCCCCACTGAACAGTAAAATGCTGTGTGGCTTACCTGGGAAGGATAAAAATAACAAATGCCAGCTCGTGTTGGATCGCCTTCTTCCTTTACCTTGGAACCATCGTAAAGAAAAAAATAATTCCACCTGGCAAGAGAACAGAATGGAGCCATGTTTCCTTTCATCCAGTGATCACAGCATTTAAAACACAGCTTCCTTTTTCCCAGCCTGAGGAGGGCTCATTACTGTGTTTGAAAGCCTTCAGGTGGCCCCAGAGAAGAAAGAACCCCAGTAGCTACAAATTAGATAAAACTGTTCTGTAAACGCAGGAAAGTCAAACTAAAAATATGCCTCTATCCAGCCGTCAGACCATCTGCCGGAGAAGACATGAGTAGCTAGAGGAAAAACGAGGCGCCCACAATGACTGCTCTTATTTGAAACACTGAACCTTAACCATACAACCACATGGTCTGATACACTGTCTTTCAAGGCTCTGGTAACAAATTAAGTTAAGGATGTTATTAGATGGACTCCTCATAAGTGCTGAGCATAAAGATTTCCGGAAATAGCCCTTCTACTAGGAATTCACGCATTCACTTAACAAACATTTGCTAAGGGCCCACAGTGTGCTTCACGTTTGCTGAGCAAACATGCAGTTTCAGTGCAGGATTGTGACTCCATAAATCCGTAACAGGGGGAAAACGGGCCTATGAGAACTTACAGAGAAACTCTGAACTCTCTACCACACACCTCACCCCGGATCACTCAAGCACACTTCCTCATTAACCTCCTGATTCCCTCAGCCCAGAGAAAGCTCTTTCTTCTGAATTTCCATGACCCTCTATTGTTCCCTAAAGACCCTTACAAACTACACTGTAACATAACTATAATTACTTAATGTTATTATCTGATTACCTCTTTAAGACCATAAAACAAACACCTCAAAGGCCGGGTCTCCATTTTGTTTTGTTTTGTTTTTACAGACAGGGTCTCACTTTGTAGCCCTATAGGCTGGAGTGCAGTGGTTCAATCACAGCTCATTGCAACCTCAACATCTCAGGCTTAAGCCATCCTCCTGCCTCAGCCTCCCAAGTAGCTGGACTACAGGAGCATGCCACCATGCTCGGCTAAATTTTTTAAAAAATTTTGTGCCGGGCGCCATGCCTCATGCCTGTAATCCCAGCACTTTGGGAGGCTGAGGCGGGCAGATCACTTGAGGTCAGGAGTTCGAGACCAGCCTAACCAATACGGTGAAACCCTGTCTTAATTTAAAAAAAAAAAAAAATTTTTTTTTAAAAAGAAAAAAAAATTTTTTTGTAGAAATGAGTCTCACTATATTGCCTAGGCTGGTCTCAAATTCCTGGACTGAAACAATCCTGCCTTGGCCTCCCAAAGTGCTGGAATTACAGGTGAGAGCCACAGAGCCTGGATGGACCTGTTTTACTTCTAACTCTCTGAAAATGCATCTATGAGGCTAAAGCATAAAGAAGCAATGGGACCAATCTGTTACCTGCTTTCTTCTCCCCTGGATCTAGGCCCTCTCTGAGGCCTCCCTCTGTGGCTCCCACCTCACCTTCCTGATGAAAAAGCACCAACTCAGGTGGGCACAGTGGCTCACACCTATAATCCCAGCACTTTGAGAGGCCTAGGCAGGAGGACTGCTTGAGCTCAGGAGTTCAAGATTGGCCTGGATAATATGGTGAAACCCCACCTACAAAAAAAATAGACAAAATTAGCCAGGCATGGTGGTGTGTGCCTGTGGTCCCACTGACTTGGGACACTGAGGTAGAAGGATCACTTGAGTCCGGGGGGTTAAGGCTACAGTGACCTGAGATCACGCCACTGCACTCTGGCCTGGATGACAGAGCAAGACCTTACCTCAAAAAAAAAAAAAAAAAAAAGCACCAACTTGGTCTCTGGCACTGTCCACTTTCCCAAGACCTAGGGCTGGGTGTACAACTGGCTGCAGGGTAGGCTTAGATCAAAAAGCCTCAAAAAAGTTTCAAAGCCAACTCAGAAGCTCCACGTGCACCCCATCCTCCTGTCTCCACATTCTCTGGGTGGAAGCATCCCTGCTTGTGCAGGCACATAAAAGAACACTTGACTGTCATTTTGAACTGCTCCAGCTTTTTGACTCTCACATAAATCATCAGTCACTAAATCCTGCTAATTCTAGCTAAACCTGCTTTTCACTTTCATCTCCTCCATGACTGATGTTTGCTAAACCTAATTATGAGACAGGATATACGCATTTAGGGTTGAGAAGGGAAATGGGATTCAGACAGACATTGAGTAATACCCTTTAACAGCCAGTCTGGCCAAACCTCTTCTCATGGTGTAATTTTCAACTGCAACCATTCCTCATCTCTGCAAACTGAAGACTACAATACCCACATTCTCATCAAAGCTGGCTGCAAGATCAGGCTGCGGCTATCTTTTCTACCATCTCCCAGCAATGTCAGACTCCTTCAAACATTGCAAGACGCTTGCAAGGTTAAAACACATTAGCTTTGGAGAGAAATGGCTCACGTGTTGATTCAGCTGCTCTGAGGAAAGTGGCATTTTTATTATCTTAATAAAATTAACACAATCTGGCTGGGGATTTTCAATGAACCCCAAAAATTGATCCAGCAGCCCAGCAAAAGCTGTGTCATGGCAGGCCCTGGTACTCACCACGAGGCTGACTTTGTCTCTGTGGAGGTGGAGGCGGCCATCTACTTAGCAGTCATCCTCGTTCTCTTCACCTAGGTTTTCTTTTCCAGTATCACTTCTTTCTACCCAGCTGTGACCGTTCCTCTATCCCCCAGTCCAGTGAATCTGGACGTGGCAGGTTTCAGTGTTTTCAGTCACAACTGCCACTTGGTTAGTTTTCACTCAGCACGGAAAGTGCCACTTCCTTTCTTGCAGGTTCTTCGGTTTCATGAATATTTCTATGCCTCTTTCAACTCGCAGAGGAACTGTAACAAAGAGAATCCCAGCAGAAAAGCCAAATCCATTCATCTGGCTCCCTGAGCGTCACTGTGGCTGTCTACAGAACAACCTCTTCAAGCTCTTCTCCAGGAAAGCCAACAGTGGGAGATGCATGCTAGAGCTGGTGTTCTAAAGAAGTTTCTAGCTTGTCTGGTTCAAACCCATCCTGAAGATTTTATTAAAAGTTTTGAAGTTTCCAGTTCAAACATCAGTGCCTTGGCTCTGAAATAAACACAAGGAATAGACATTTCAGAAACTCGTGAGAGTGCATGTGACCTCGCAGGATTAAACGAATAGTATCTTTCAAAAGAGCTTTCTGTAAGGGTGACAATGATGCTTCAAAATCAAAGAGGAAGGCTTGCAGACTTCAGAGTAAGGGCTTTAGTTTCTCGAACAGTTAAGGGACACACACCACAAGGCTCACAGAAGATCAAATCAAACGATAGGGTGAAGACGCTCTGGGTGTGGACAGCTATACAAATAAAGCGGTTGCTGTGGTAATAATGGAACCCAAATTAAGGAACTGCCATCTTGACAGTCCAAAAGTAACCTGAACGTGAAGAATTCCAGAGCAGGGCAAGTTTCTAAAAAATGAAGAGAACTTTATCAAATGGCTTTCAAACTTCCACCAGAGAAAGACAACTCAGTGTATCATGGAATTTCAGTCGGAAGGAACCCTGGCATTATTTACTGTACTCTCTTGGACTCTGTTCCAAAAGTACCTTGGGCGGCTCTCCTTTACACCCTCCAGAGATATGCGGTTCACCACGTTACATTTCTCCTTCCTCCTTCCACCAAACTAAAATCTGCCTTCCAAATTTTACATCTGCCTCCCACTAGCTAGTCTGGGTAACACTCTCCAGGAAAGCAAAAAACAAGGTCTAATTTTACCATCTGACAACTTCTTGGTCACTTCAAAACTATTGTCTAATTCCTATTGTCACTTTCTCCAAGCTTAATGCCCTAGCAACATGGTCTCAAATGCTTGCTCACCATTCTGCAATTTGTGGGAACACAACGCAGTTTGTTAAAAGTCTCTAGAGACGACCCCCACTGAATATTTAACGGACTGTAAAATCGCTATTTCTTCTCAGCTCTAGATATTTTGGATTGGGTCTCCACGGGACCATACTCATTGTATTCTATGGAGCATATCTGGGTGCCTGTGGAGGGGGCATCTCTGTTCCCAGAACCAAGGACAGCAGCCTAAAACGCCCCATCAATGTTCCCAGAGGACTGGGCCCCCCTACTACCGAAGGTTCTCTCTTATCTCTGAAAGGTCCAGAAGAGGCCAATAACGGCCCTGGCGTAGGCACCGCCATCGGAATGTGAGCAGAAAAGGCTCTGGTAGCCTGGGAAGTTGTAGCAACAACCTGGGGGAGGGGCTGGTGATAGCAGTATGGGAAACAGCCTCGGTGGGGCAGCAGGGCTGGAAAAGGGACGCTAATGGCTGGAGAAGGGCCAGGACGCTGCCAGACACAGCCCCCGGGGCGCAGGCAGCGATCGGTGACAGCACGAGGGCTCTGCGGTGTCTGGCCCCAGCTCCGGGGGACTGGGAAACGGTGGGCGAAGGCCCAAGGATCAGGCGGGGTCTGGTCACGCTCTCAGCTCGGGGCCCGCCCCTTGGTATCCCCGCGCCTCCGAGCGCCGCCCACCCACCGGAGTACCCTGGCATCCCAGTGCTCGGGGTTCGGGACTCTGGACCCGGAATGCGGGCGGCGGCTGGACACCAACAACTCCGGCCGGGTACCTGAGAGTTGAGAGGCCTTAGGTCACGCGCCGCCCCGCCTACCGCGCCCTCTTGCTCTCGGCGAGTCGGCGCGCGGCTATGACGTACCTGAGTGCGCCGCGCTCCATGACGTCAGAGACCAATGGCTGCCGCCGCAGCTGCCGCGCCGGAATCCTGGCAGGCGGCTGGTCCGCGGAAGAGGCGCTCGGCGGCGCGACGGCCACGGCGGAGGCAGGCGGCGCCCCGGTACCCCGAGGCGGAATTCGAGGCTGACAGCGGAGTCGTGCTTCGTCGCATCTCGGACGCTGAGTGAGTGCGGGATCGACCCTGGTGGAATCTCTGCGCCCATGGGCAATTCTGAGCCACAGTCTCGCCATCTATAAAGTGGCAATATAATGCATACCCTTTAGGGGGTTATTATGAGGATTTAACGTAGGTAACGAGCTCATTAAAGATCTGGATTATAGTAAACGCTCACTTGAAGGTTGTCTTCCCTGTTACAGCTGCGTGACCTTGGGCAGCTTATAATCTCTGTGCCTCAGCTTTCTCATCTGTGAGATGGGGACGAAAATAGTACATACTTAGGTTTGTTTTGAGGATTCAATGAATTAGTAAATGGAAACCATTTTCTGGCACGTGATAAGCACAGTGCCAATGTTTGCTATCAACATTATGTCGATGTTGGTATTATTGGTGGTAGTAACACGAGGGCAGCAACATGAACACGTGATTGCTATCATGATCAGGCAGCTGCTGTGTGCCTGACACTGGCTTAATCATTCTACACACTATGTTAAACATTGCAGGCACGCTAGGACGCTGGTAGCTCAACTGAATCTCAAAGAGACAGATAAAATGTATAGAACCAGATTTCAAACCCAGGGCTTTGTGATAAAAACCAGTGCTTCCAGCTCTCCATTATGCTGGATGCTTATCCCAGCCCAGATTCTCACATACTTTGCTCCGTACCTTAGAAAGTATATAGAGAGTGCCTAATACAGAGGAAACACTCAATAAATGTTACCTATGATTGTTATTTAGTATTATTGCCTTTATTTGCAATTCTGTTTAGGGTCAAGAAATAACAGCTTTAGTTAGTACTTCACCATCTGAAGGGCCCTCACAAGGGAAGAAATTAGATTTAATTTTGTGTGGTCCTTTCCCCTAGAATTAGGATCAAAATTCAGTAATGACCCAGAGTTTACCTGTGAAAAGAAAGTTGCTGACCATTTGGCTCGGCCTGAACAAAAAGGACCTGCAATTCTTTTTAAGCTCTCAGAGGGTGCCAGTGCGAGTGAATGTGCCTGGGGGTTTGGAGAACTCAAGGTGCTTTTCATATCCCTTGACATTGTCACTATTTCCTCAACTGCTTCAGTATTCCCCAGGAGCTCTCTGCTTCTCCCAACACCCAAGTGTGGTACAATCACCATTGCCTGAGTATTGGGCCAGCATTTTACATGCTTATCTATGTACGCATTTACCAGTTCATAAAGCATTCCCGTGTACATCAGAACTCTCTCCTTCACCCTCTGTGAGGAACGTCCAGCAGCCTCTGGGCCGACTTTCAATTCTCTGTACTCCTTTCTGAACCACATAATCACTCTCTCTGGCTGTGGCTTGTCAGTTTAAATCCAGTTGATCTTAATTCACTGTTGACTTTGTTCTGCTCTGAGTCTGTAAAACCAGTTGACTTGAATAAAGAAAGCCCAGATACTTGCTTTTGACTCTTTACTTTCCCCTTAGAACTATTTATAATAACGGAGACCATTTATTGAGTACTTGCTGTGTCACTGTGCTAAGAATGTTAACCCTTCTGTTTTCATTATATATTACAATGTAAATGTTAACCCATTTTATGCCTCTAAACTCCTCCATGTTGGGAATGATTTTTATCCCCATTTTAGAGATGAGGAAACTAAAGCTCAGAAAGGCAAATTCTGAGCATTTAACAACCATTTATTAAGATACAGTTCTACGCTAGGCTCTGTTGTAGACTGAGAATAGACCCAGACCTCTCTGAGAACCGAAAACCTGCTCCAGTGTCCTCTCTCCTGCAGTCTCTGAGCCCCAGCAGTATGTGCCCTGGCTCTGGACATGTTCAACGTATATCCCCCTGCTATCACTTGGTAAGGGTGGGCCGTGCATTGCAGGGCACCTCATTCTCTATGCATTCAGGTCATGATCAGGAAAGTTAATGTTGGGGCAGCCCTGAAATGAATGGGACATAACTGTGCCATTTTTTCTCAACAGGAAGGACCTACTTATCTCTGATTTCTGGAGTTCAGCACTAGGTGGGTACCACCTGGCCAAGGGTAGGGGTTGTAGGGCCGAAAGGAGAATCAGTCCTCATTTGAGGACATTTTGCTTCACAGCAGGATCACTTGCTGGGTACTAACCACCCCCCCATTACAACTGGGTGTCTTTTGGCACTTAATTCTGACCCTCAGTTTCTTGATCTGTGAAATAGGGATAATGTGTATATCCTGTAGTTTTGAGAACTGAACCTGTGTAGCTAAATGCTGGCCTGCTGTATACAAGGCAATAAATGTTGTCATTATTATTGCTGAAATTTATGTTTATCCTATTCCTTTTCCATGATATTACAATGTAGCCTTTTTCTCATGCAGTTATAATCTCCTCCTAAACATGGTGGAGATTGTTTGTTATTGTTTAAAATATTATGTTGTGGGTGGCAACATAATATTTATGCATGGAATGGACATACCATATCATCTTTATTGAGGGACATTTAGTTTTCTACCTTTGTTTTTCAGTTATTATTTTAGAGCAGAGTCTCAGTCCTCACCCAGGCTGGATGAGGTGCAAACGTAGTTTGCAAACTACGTGCAAACTATGGTGCAAACATAGTTCACTGCAGCCTCTACCTCCTGAGCTCAAGTGATCCACCTCCAGCCTCCCAAAGTGCTGGGATTACAGGCATGAGCCACCACACTCAGCCTTTTTAAATTATTATACATAATTTTGGAATGAGCAACTTTATGCATAAAGCTTTTACCAAACTGAGGATGATCTTCTTAGAATATATTCCCAGAAGCGGAATTAAATGAAAGGCAGTGACCAACTTGATATCCATTGTCAAGTTCTTCAAAATGTTTTCACCAATTCTTCTATCAAAACTGAAGAGCCAGTTTTTCATGCAAACTTTCCTGGCCTAGGGTCTTATTTAAAGATTTCTTCGCTGGTTCCTTTTTTTTTTTTTTTTTTTTCCAGCAAAGTAGCTGCCGTTTTTGTTCTTGGTCCTTTTTTTTTTTATATTTGAGTCTCACTTGTTGCCCAGGCTGGAGTGCAGTGGCGTGATCTCGGCTCTTTGCAATCTCCACCTCCTGAGTTCAAACAATCCTCCTTGCCTCAGCCTCCTGAGTAGCTGGGACTACAGGCGGGTACCACTACCCCTGGCTAATTTTGTATTTTTGAAGAGATGGGGTTTTACCATGTTGGCCAGACTGGTCTCGAACGCCTGACCTCAAGTGATCACCCCACCTCGGCCTCCCAGAGTGCTAGATTACAGGTGTGAGCCACTGTGCCTGGCCCTTTGCTGGTTAAAAGGAGGGACAAGAGAACCTACCTCTACATGAGAAGACTTAAACAGAGGATTTTTCATTAGGTTCTTGAAGCCCCAACCTACCTTTCCTTTAAACTCTTTACACATTCAGTGTTCCTACTTTTAGCCATTTATAGTGTGATTTTGAGAGGTATACTCCATCCTTTGTTATAACTTTATTTTGAGACTGAGTTTTGCTCTTATTGCCCAGGCTGGAGTGCAATGGCGCGATCTTGGCTCACCACAAACTCCGCCTCCCGGGTTCAAGCGATTCTCCTGTCTCAGCCTCCTGAATAGCTGCGATTACACGCATGCGCCACGAAGCCCAGCTAATTTTGTATTTTTAGTAGAGATGGGGTTTCTCCATGTTGGTCAGGCTGGTCTCAAACTCCGGACCTCAGATGATCCACCCACCTTGGCCTCCTAAATTTAAAGTGCTGGGATTACAGGCATGAGTCACCGCGCCCAGCCTATTTTATTTTAAAGATGGATTCTTGCTCTGTTGCCCAGACTGAAGTGCAGTGGCACGATCTCGGCTCACTGCAACCTCTGCCTCTGGGGTTCAAGCAATTCTTCTGCCTCAGCCTCACCAGTATCTGGGACTATAGGCATGCGCCACTACACCCGGCTAATTTTTTGTATTTTTAGTAGGGATAGGGTTTTGCCATGTTGGCCAGCCTCGTCTTCCCTGACCTCAGGTGATCCACACATCTCAGCCTCCCAAAGTGCTAGAATTACAGGCATGAGCCACCGCACCCAGCCAGTTACAACTTTAAAAGTTTGGATTTCAGAGCATAGTCTACATTTACCAGGAGCCTCTTGTTAAATTAGAATGAGTTCCCATTAGTGTTTTAGATGGAAACTGCTGTGAATGAAACCCAACTTCTGCTTTTACAACATTCTCTTGGGTTTTGGACCATGGGAGTCCAGGGGTTGGGACAGCCTGTCAGTGGTGAATGTGACTGTATGTCCTGGCATGTTTGGGAATGTGGCTGGCAGCTTTTCTCTCTGAAAAATGGAAACCTTTTACTGCCCTGATCTCTTTCTTCCCAAATCTGTGAACTTCTTTTATGGATGATTTGACTCACAGGGTCAGAGCATGCCCTCTAACTGCACTTGGGGGCCTGCTCTTTCAGAAACCATCAATAAATGTCTCACAAAACATCTGGAACAGCTCAAGGCCCCTGTGGGGACTCTTTCGGACACCTTTGGAAACCTGCATCTTGACTCATCGTCAGATGAGTCAGATGTGGCCCCTGACTCTATCCCAGGAGGGACCCTGGGCACAGGAACCTGCCTTTGGAAGTGTGTGTGTTACGGCATTGGGAACTTTGCCACCTGCATCATTGCTAGAAACCAGCTAACGTTTTTGCTGCTTTTGTTGGAGAAGTGCCAGGTACATTTTTGGATTCATTTTCATCTCCTCCTCCTCTGGTCTTGCACATGGGTGCACACAGATGTTTGGGTGGAAGTAAACAACTCATTCTTTCCTTGTAGATTCCCAGAAGTCACTGTTGGGTGTATGACCCTCTGTTCAGCCAACTTGAAATTGACGTACTTAACACCCTTGGTGTGACTGTTCTCAGTGAGAACGAGGTAAGTGGATTAAAGGGGAGCAGACCGGACTATAGAAATCCTGACCAGACTGACCCCAGGCTTTGCCTGTGGACACCAGCATTCTTGGCAATGGTAGCCATTCCTCTTATCGCTCGCTCGCTTTTGCAATGCCTGAAGGATGTAACCAGCCAATCAGTTACCTACATTTTGGCTTGTGTTGTGCCTATCAGAAAAAAACTACACAAATGGCATGAACCAGATCACTTTAGGTCTGCACCACTTCTGTGAGAATTATTTGTCTGGAAGTTATGCTAACTTGGTATTTGCTGTTGCTATTGAAAAATAAAAGTCTGGGTGCCTCAAGTGAGGTCTTTCTGGATTTCGCCCTGTCCCAGGGAGGTATAAAGGGGGACGCAGCAGCCCTCTTTGATGCCATGACCCAGTCAAACCCATAGCACCTGGCTGTGCGTTGTGGATTAATTCTCTGCCCACATTTGCACCCCCCAGAATAGCTGGGATTTGACATTTCTGAGACCTGTGGAATAAAGAAATGCATCTCTCAAGCCCAGGGCCAAGGCCAGTATAAGCAAATCCCTCCGATTTTGGTTTTGCATTGTCTTGGGGATTAGAATCATTTGATTCCTGTGTGTGTCCTGAAACTGCCATCTGATTGCTTATTATGTATGAAAATTTGGCTCAGTTGAGACAAGAGTCATTCCCTGATTTTGGCAAGGTCTTAAAACACTGTCACTCAGTTCAGATCATCTTTCTGGGTGCCTGCTCTATGCTAGGCAGGGAGCTTTGCCAAGACCAAGATAAATGGGAGCCAGTCTCTGTGTTCTGGGAGCTGGTGCTCACATCCGGGCATGTGACCTGTATGCAAGTAAATGAGGCATGAAACAGTGAGGCAGAACCTTTTACTAGGAACTGAGACAAGAGAGGTGTTTGGAGGGATGGACAAAGGTTTCCTGGGTCTGCGCAGGGCTTCGAAGGTCCACCAGGAGTTTGCCGGTGGGACAGAACCAGGATTGCAGGCAGCTGTGCAGTGCTGGCTGTTCAGGAAACCATTGCCAGTTTAGGCAGGCCAGAGGTGGGCAAGGGTCAAAGGGCCTTATGCTCCCTGCTAGTTTGGCTGTAGAGCCGTGATTCCCAGGAGGGGTGATTGTGCATCAGGGACATTGGAAGAGGACTTAGTTATGACGCAGATCTATAGGAAGTGACACAGGAAACATGGGTTACTGAACATGGTGGGAAATATACCGAGGAAGTAACATCACCATCCCTCCTGCCCTTGCCATGATGGACCCAGGACGCCCCTCCATTAGTGCATTGTGTTCGTACATTTGTTAAGTAAACATGAGTTCTTTCGGGACATCATGATTTCCTGACTTTTTAATCCCATAACGGTATAGATTTCATATACAACTTTAACTGTTCCACAATCAAAGTGAGCTTTTTCCCATTTGATCCTTTAGCTTGTCTCATTATTAACCCCATCCTTACCTCTCCCTCACCTTGCTATAAAGAAGAGGTTGCGGGCATGTTTACATCTGTGAATATTTCCCTTCCCAGGAAGGGAAACGGAGTATTCGCGGGGAGGCCACCATCTTTTACATGCTCCATTGTGGGACGGCCTTGTACAACAATCTTCTATGGAGTAACTGGTCAGTAGATGCCCTTTCTAAGATGGTCATCCTTGGGAACAGTTTCAAAGGACTGGAGGAGAGGTAAGCCTGAGAATGCTGAGATTATGTCAGGCCCTGAGGTGAAACTCGTACCTCAGATTGACCCACAAGCAGAAAACGTTTCCTTGACGATTCCATACTGGGAAATGCTTTTCCATAGGGAACTGGTTGAAGGGTTAAAGATAAGAGATGTCAGAACCCTGATTCAAGCTATGAAGCAAGTTAAGGAGTCTTTTTGCCACGATTTCCTCCCTTCCATTATGATACACAGAAATGCTTTTGAAAACAGGGAAAGCTGTTTCATTCCTCTGCCTACAGATCCCATATCCTCATTGTTTCACAGTGCTTAGATGTCTGCCCAGTCATTCCCTTGATGAAATAGACACAATTACTGGAGTATTTGCTTCTATTTATTTTAATTCATTTATTTTATTTTACTTTTTTGAGATGGAGTCTCACTCTGTCCCGCAGGCTGGAGTGCAGTGGTGTGATCTCAGCTCACTCCAACCTGTCTCCCGGGTTCAAGCGATTCTCCTGCCTCAGCCTCCAGAGTAGCTGGGATTACAGGCACACACCAGTATGCCCAGCTGATTTTTGTATTTTTAGTAGAGACAGGGTCTCACCATGTTGGCTAGGCTGGTCTTAAAGTCCTGACCTCAAATGGCCCGCCTGCCTCGGCTTCCCAAAGTGCTGGGATTACCGTGCCTGGCCCACATTTCCAACTATTTAACCTACTCCACATCTTGAGTTTTTTCCGGAATTCTTACTGTACTTCAGTCATCTTGCCCTTCTGTATGTCTTAAGTTGAATGAAACTATCCTCATACCTCCTAATCATGTCTTTTGTTTTTCTTGTTTTTTAATTCCTAGGTTATTGGCAAGGATTCTGCAGAAAAATTATCCCTACATTGCAAAGGTATCTATCTGAATAAAGGGGTTGGGATGGAAAAGCGTGTGAAACAGTGAAGAATTCTATCTTTACACGCGTATGAGGAAGCTCGGGGACTAAGTGACGCTTGTGTACTGTCAGTGAGCTCACTGCAGGCGTCTGTGTTCCAGAAAGCTTTGACACTTACTGCATCTCTTAGTTTTTTTCCTTATTTCCTTTATTCTCAGTATCATAGTCCATGATATCCACTGTCCTTGGGGCAACCAATTCATTGTGCAAAGCATTTAAATTGAAATATCCTCTTTGTTATTTTTTTAAAAAGAACAGCGGGGATAACAAGTAACATGGAAATTTAACCCAAAGAGTGGGGATTACTGTGACTATCAAGTTTTCATGCTTGAATTTTTCTGCTCAGATTTTAAAAGGACTGGAGGAGCTTGAGTTTCCTCAGACTTCACAGTACATGGACATGTTTAATGACACCTCCATCCACTGGTTCCCTGTACAAAAGCTAGAACAGCTCTCCACAGATACTTGGGAGTTTCGGGAGGAACCAGATTATCAGGACTGTGAGGACCTTGAAATCATCAGGAACAAGACAGAAGATCCTTCAGCTACTGACTGAACTCACTGTCATTTACTCATTGTTGGCTGAGGTAGAGACTAACGTGGACAAACTACAGGGAACTCCTTTGCCAGGAATTCACGTCAACTCGGCTGTCCTGTTCTGAGGACGATACCCCACATAATTGGTATAAGATGCACACGCTGCTAAGTGATCGTCCCGTTTTGCATCCTTCCCTTGTGACCTGGCCTGATGTGGAGTATCTCTGGAATAGAGGTTACCCTTTTGAAGGTGATCTAAAATATTGTTTATTCACAACACATGCCGCTCAGGTACAAGTCTCTGGACCTGCCACAGTTCACTTGGCCATATCGATCAGGCTCTGCAGTGAGGTGGGCACCCAGGTCTTCTCGCCCTGGACAAAGACCACTCCCCGGTCGATGTAGATCACAATGCGGCCAAAGGTATAGAGCTGCTTCCCTTCGTGTCGCTTCCCAATGATGGGCATGAAGACAATGTTGTGCTCCTCAGCCTTGGTCTCAATGAGGTCCTTAAAGTTCATGGGCACAGAGCTGGTGGCCACACCAATGCCCCTCTGGGCCATGTTCTCGGCCTCCCGCCTCTCCTGCATGGCCTCGTACTGGAAGTCCTTCCTCCGCTCCGTGTGGGTGAGATAGGCAATGTTCTCCCGTGCTCCCGGCTGCATGTAGGCCCCTGACAGATACAGAAGGTAGGGCGGTGAGGACAGGTGTATGGAAGTTGACCCTGACTGGCCCAGGTCTTGGTGTTCCAGAGTGCTTGTAACTCACTGAAGGGCAGCTCTGCCTCAAAGATACAACTCTGGAGGGAGTTTAGACAACTGGCCACTATCACATAAAAACTGGAAAGTTTCCAGCTAGTAGCTAGAAACCAAAGAGATTATTAAATATTCATTTTAAAATGAAGTATCTGCAAGGGATTTCTTTGAGAGATGGAAACAGCCGGGCACAGTGGCTCACACCTGTAATCCCTACACTTCGGGAGGCCAAAGTGGGCAGATCACAAGGTCAGGAGTTCGAGACCAGCCTGGCCAACATGATGAGACCCCATTGCTACTAAAGATACAAAAAATTAGCCAGGCATGGTGGCGCATGCCTGTAATCCCAGCTACTTGGGAGGCTGAGGTAGGAGAATCACTTGAACGTGGGAGGTAGAGGGTATACTGAGCCGAGATCATGCCACTGCACTCCAGCCTAGGCAACAGGGCAAGACTCTATCTATCTCAAAAAAACAAACAAACAAAAAACCTGGAAACATTAACAGAGATTCCCCACCCACTCTTCTGTTTCCACTTCACACCACAAAAGAGGCAGCTTTTAGTACCTTAAAAAACATGGCCCATACTGGCCTTATTTTAACTTACCCATACAGGTCCCCCATCCTGAAAGACACATGTTTTTGGGGAGCTGAAATGGGTGTTTAAAGGATAATACAAGTGCTAAGTGCTAACTGAGAGGTATGCAGGGAACAGTTTTGGAAACATGAGGCCAGGAGTAGCTAAGGAAGAGTTTTTAGAAAGACCTTGATAATTACAGAAGCAGAGAAGTATACTTTATCTGTGTTTTCACAGAATATGCTAACTATTAAATAACAAGAATTAAAGACCCAGGAAATAGAAATTCCAGTTCTAACTGCCACTCTTTAACTATGTGACCTTGAACAGGCTCTTAGCCTCGCTGGGCTTATCTGTAAAACAGACTAGGATGATCCCATTTCAATGTTGTGAATTGGCTAATGAGCAACACTGGAGCACAGGACTGGCTGAAATAGGCTCCCAGATGTAGAAATATAAACATACTTTCATTTACTTGCGATCTAGGCAGAATGGCTTCCCTAGAACTTGGGAATAGATATAGTACATGAACAGTAAACTGTTTTTGACAACACAGACACCACCTATTGAAAGCTACACACAAGCATGAACGCAATCCCCCTTTTAGCCTATGCAGTAGATCTTACTGCTTTACAGGTAAAATGGGGGTGATAAGGGCTGAGCAATCACCAAATGTCAGTCCATGTGTCCAACTCCTCACTGTAAGATGTGCCATCGGAGCAACATGCTCAGGGCTGGCTGAGCAGAAGCGTGGATGAGCCTTAAAAGGCCACACAGCACAATGGTTAAGAGGGCAGGCCCTGGGGTTAGACTGACATCATCTGACAGCTTAAGTCAGTCTCCACTCAGGAAGATGCCCCTCAGTCATGGTAGCCTGGCAGTGGGTGCCAGCTGACCAGGTACCCCAATCAGCACAGTGAGAGTCTGTCACTATGTGCAGAAGTGTGACCTACGGTTTAGGCTGCCTAATGGAACCAGAAAACTCTGATTCTGTGTCATTTCTGTGTGTAAAATCTGAAACTCGGGGCCAGGACTTCCAGAATGGGAATCCTCACTTACCAACGTTGGAGGACACCGCCCGGTTCATGATATCAAGTGCTTCGTTAAATTTGTCCTTGACAGATGGATGTGCCAGCACTTGGTCTGAGAACATAGACTTCCAACCCAGGTACCACTTGGTGATCTCCTCATAATTTGGGCTGTTACTGAGCCAGGAGCACAGCACCTGCCAAAAAGAAAAATTACTTGCATCCATGATGGCAACAAATGAAGGCAAGATTTCCAAAGGGGCCATTTGTTTTGTTTTGATCCTGCTTCTACAGCCTAGTAACACTATTCTACAGGGATTTATAGTAGCTAAACGGTGTAGCACTTATGAATATGGATTTGGAGTCAGCCTGGTGGCTAAAGTGCCCATGCAGTAAACTCTCTCAGCCTAGGCTTCCATGTCTACACAACAGGGATACCACAGCCTACCCCATAGGGGTGCTGGGAGGAACCGAGATAAAGCAAATGAAGTGCTTGGAACAGCCTCTGATACATGACAAATGTCCAATAAATAAATGGTGCCCACTATTAAGATGATCTAACTCATTCCTACCCTACCATGCAATTTATTTTCACTATGGAATTGTACCTGCAGCCAGGCCTGGGAAGAAAATTAACTTAATCCCCTCTCAGTTCCCTCACCCAGAAAACCAAGCAAAACAAAGTGTACCTGCAGCCACTTGGGGAAGAAGTGCTTTTCAAGAAGTCCCACCAGGCTAGAGACAGAGATCATTCCTTCCCAGTCGATCACCCAGTAGAAAGCATCCATGTGCTGCTGGTGGGGGTTAATGACTAGCTCACCAAGACACATCCCTGGAAGAGAAACCCGGTCTGTAAGGCACAGCTTTAGTACCAGCAAAGCCACAGAAGCACAGAGAGCAAAGACAATGTCCGTTTTCTTCTCCGCTCACAGCAACCTCCACCTCCCAGGTTCAAGTGACTGCTGTGCCTCAGCCTCCTGGGTAGCTGGGAGTACAGGTGTGCACACTGTGGCTGGCTTTTTGTATTTTTATTAAAGACAGAGTTTTGCCATGTTGTCCAGGCTAGTCCCAAACTCTTGGCCTCAGGTGATCTGCCCACCTTAGCCTCCTAACGTGCTGGGATTACAGGTATGAGTCACAGCTCCTGGCCTTTTTTTTTTTTTTCAAGACAGGGTCTCATTGTCACCCTGGCTGGAGTGCAGTGGCGGATCACGGCTCACTGCAACCTCTGCCTCCCAAGTTCAAGCCATCCTCCTGCCTCAGCCTCCCCTAGTAGCTGGGACCACAGGCACGTGCCACCAGGCCTGGCTAGTTTTTGTGTTGGTAGAGATGGGGTTGCACCACGTTGTTCAGGCTTTAATCTGCTTTTAAAGGTAAAATTTAAGCTCTTGACATAGCAATTCTTAAAAATATATATATATATATATTTTTGCTAACCCAGAAATAACTCCTATAACCTAGAGTAAAATACCACGAAAATTTCAGAGCTCCAATGGCTGTCCTGTTACCAGAAGCCAAAGCCAAGCAGGAAAGCCACAGGGCACAGAGTCCAATATTGTCACTGTTGACTATTAGTCACTGTTGTAAATAAACAGTAGAAAGGACCCAAGTTACATTTATGTTCAGCCTCTGCACAAAAGGGTAGCCTTTTCACAGTGAGGAATATTGTGTACTAAGCACTTTCACGAACACAAAGGCTATGTTTTAAATCATCACCGCTGACCACAGAAACCAGGGCACCAAGGCTGCTGGACGTGGAATGCATTTTCCCCATGTCCTTACCCAGCTTGGGCACTATGTTTTTGACCATGAATGCTTCCCAGGAGCCAGGAGTGAAGACGTCCTTCCAGGGCTGGAGGATGAGCTTTGCAGAGGAGTCACTGGGGTGCCACTTCTGCAGGGCGCTGGACAGCTTGCTACGGATGGGAGAATACAGCGGCTCCAGCCGTGCCTGCATGAGGGGCAGCCATGGGTGGATCCAAGAGTGGATGGGAACAGTGTCTGTGAGTGGGTTCCAGTTTTCCACCTGCAAAGTAGGGAGAAGAAACAATTCATGCCACCTGCGGGGCAGTCGCATGCATCCCTGTGTGGTTAAAGGCAAGACCTGCCCTTGGAGGAGGCCCCATGCTCTTCTAGCCAAGGTCTACAGTCCTTTGTACGTTGCCAAACAAATATGCCCATTCATTTGTATTACATGTCAGAAATAGCACAGTTCTAATTTTAGTGAAGAAATCAAGAAAATGAATTCTTTCCTGAGGGTGGCCTGGGGAAAAAAGTGCTGAGAAAAAGGCTGGAATTAACACTATAGACCAATAGTTGGGTTGACAAATTCTGTTAATTCCAGGCGTTTTAACAGCACTGAGATAATGAAGACATAGACTGTCCCTGTGGTTAGTGAAGACAGCTGTTTCCCATGACTCTCACCCCACCTCCTTCTGCAGCTTGGGGAAGATGAGTTGGTCCAGTATGTTATCTAAGATCCACACAGGAATAATGTGCACCCAACTATCCAGAAAGTCCACCATCGGGTCACAGTTTCTTGGCTGCCACTGGGTGACGATATTTCGAACGAAAGGCATCCAGACTTCCCATATCAACCTATGGGAGAAAGGCAGAGAGCGGGCTGGTTAATTACACTGATTGTTTTCAAGTACACCACCACCACCTGCCTCTCTAGAATCAGAAACAAAAATGCAACAGCATGGAAATCCAATCAAAGGAAACCGTCAGGCCAGTTACCATACTGGCCAGACCTGAGCCTGCCTCTTCCTTGTTCTCGTGACTGTCCTCTCAACCTGAGGCCTCAGTCTCCTAGGTAATGCCTGCCCACCTGGCAGAGCTGCTTTAGGGTCACAAGAGCCTCTTCCCAGGTATCAAGTGCTTTCCCACCTACAGACTTCACACATCAGCTCACACCTCACCCTCTAATATCTCAGCTTCAACGTCACCTCCTCTAAGACCACTGTCCCAACCCCCGTCTCAAGTAGGTCACTCCTGCAATTCTCTACTGTGGTACCTGGTGTGCATCCCACCTTTATTTGCTCACTACCTTATTTCCCATCTGCCTTTTCTGCTGTGCTGTAGAAAGGCTGTCTGCTGTATTCCTAGGGTAAGCCCAGCACCTAGCACAAGCATGATACTCAACAAATGTTTGACAAGTGTCACCTGAATTCATGGCCAAGTGTAATAGTATAACCACTACGGAAAACAGTGTGGAGGTAAAGAACTAAAAGTACTTCCACCATTTGATCCAGCAATGCCACTACTGGGTATCTACCCAGAAGAAAAGAAGTCGTGGCTGGGTGCAGTGGCTCACGCCTGTAATCCCAGCACTTTGGGAGGCTGAGATGGGCAGATCATGATGTCAAAAGATAGAGACCACCCTGGCCAATATGGTGAAACCCCGTCTCTACTAAAAATACAAAAATTAGCTGGGCGTGGTGGTGTGCCCCTGTAGTCCCAGCTATTCAGGAGGCTGAGGCAGGAGAATCTCTTGAACCCAGGAGGCAGAAGTTGCAGTGAGCCAAGATCGCGCCACTGCACTCCGGCCTGCTGACGGAACGAGACTCCGTCTCAAAAAAAACGTCATTATATGAAAAAGATACTTGCTCAGACAAGTATCTATGCACCTATATATATACATACACATATATATATATGTATGTGTATGTGTATATATACATATATACATACATATATATATATATGTGTATGTGTATATATAGTGGAATACTACTCAGCCATAAAAAGGAAAGAATTAATGGCATTCACAGCAACCTGGATAGGACTGGAGACTATTACTCTAAGTGAAGTAGTAACTCAGGAATGGAAAACCAAACATCCTATGTTCTCACTCTTAAGTGGGAGCTAAGCTATAAGGATGCAAAGGCATAAGAATGACACAATGGACTTCGTGGACTCAGGGGGAAAGGGTGGGAGGGGGTGAGGGATAAAAGACTACAAACTGGGTTCAGTGTACACTGCTCAGGAGATGGGTGCACCAAAATCTCACGAATCACCGCTAAAGAACTTACTCATGTAACCAAACACCACCTCTTCCCCAATAACCTATGGAAATAAAAAATTAAAAAAAAAAAAAAATGAATTCATGGCCAAATGAATGTAAATTCCTAAACAGTGTCAGCATGAGCAGAGAAATAATCAAGGCCAGCGGTGCTGCCTTCACCCACCTTCAGCAATCCTTCCCAACACCCCAGGAGAAAGCAGCTGGAGTGCAGAGCCCTGCCCTGCGTTACCTGTGAAAGGCATCTGCTGAGAGGTCCTGTCCGCCATGGGACAAGAGCTGGTCGTTCTCTAGGAGGCTTTTCCATTTGGAGATGATCTCGGTACCATAAGTGCAGTCCTGGGGAGAAAGGTGGAGCAGATGAGGGGCAGTGGGCTCTCCAGCCCGCCCTGCCTGCCAGACCATCTCATCAAGCAAGGGCAAGCCCAACTGAGAGGCAGGGACAGGTTGATTTTCCCAACAACTCACTTTGAGGGGATCCCACTCCTTGAAGTACTCCTTCATGAGTGGATAGACGATAGCCACGGCGAGGTCCACACGGTCAGACATCCTGTACTCCTCATAGTACTTGTCCTGCAGGGTTTCAAAGATGCGGGCGCACTCGTCCAGGGTGAGGGGGTTGCTGCAGTCGGGCTGCATCCGCCGCTCGCACTCCTCCACCATCTCCAAGACCTTGCTGAGGTTGGAGATGACGCGCTCCTCATGGTCCAGGACCTCGGTCATCTTCTCCAGCTCATGGAAGAGGTTGACCACCATGTCCCGCTCATACTGTAGCTGCCGGTCATTCTGGATGATCTCCTGCTCGGTGAGGTCGATGAGCAGCTGCAGGTTGTGCTCCAGCTCGGGCAGCGCGAAGCCCGGGGCCTTGGCCTCTTTGCCAGACTGCGGCAGCTGCTGGGACTGCAGCGGCAGCCCGTCATCGGGAACGTTGTGCTTGTGGCTGATCTGACTGTAGCTGTAATAGACCTTCTGCTCTCGGCCTGTCATGTCGATGACCTTGGAAAACGTAAAGGGACGAAGGTTAACACCACTGCAGCCCTGTGAAACACACAGCTGAGCCCAGGGGAAGGCCTCATGGCAGGGGAAGTGTGTAAAGACCACATTATTCAACAGAGCGAGAGAAGGGCAGTGTTTCATAAAGTGGGATCCGCACTGTCCTAGCCTAAAGGAGACTTCCAGGGACAAAATCAGATGCAGCAAGCAGTTCTAGATTGGATCACTCTGAACAAGCCAGAGAGATGGAAAAGACTTCTTTAGGAAAACATGAAATGTAAATAGGGACTGAGTATTAGGAGATGTGAAAATACATTTTAATGGAAAAGTAGAAGCTGTACTCATCAGAGGAGATCACATACAATCAGAATATCACATTTTGGTTTTTAAAAAATGCATATAACCACAGACAAAGATCTAGGCTGTACAACAAGACCTTAACATCCAGTAATCTTAGGAGGATGGAAAATATTTTCTATGTTTTTGTCTATTTCCTAATTTTCTAAACTGTACTACACACTGCTATTGTAATAACAAAGTTGTTTTTTAAATTTTAAAACAAAACATACAAAAAACTAATTGAACAAAGGCAACCTAGGTAATGAGCTAATTCCGGTATTTTAGGAAAACGAGAAATCTGAATATGGACTACACTTCTGAAACAGAAAGATTCATCACAACTTTTTAAGTAAGAGTGTGAGCCATGAACCACCAGCATTAGAATCATTGGAGGAAGAAAAGAGTCCTGAGGTCCAGTCTAGACTCAAAATTCCTGGGAGGTGCCTAGACACCCATATTTCTTACCAGGTCGTCCAGATAATATAACAGCACACGTCTGAGATCCACACTTTGAGGTCTATCACACTATATGTCCCCCAGCAAATGACAACAAGTAACTGTCACCATTGTTCTTTAACTGCTTGGAAACGTAATGGAAAACTTAATACTCTATATGCAAGTACAGTGACTGAAATTTAATCTATCTTTAAAAAAGAAAATATTCAATGCTGGCTAAAGAGCCCTGGGGACTCTCTCCTGACCTCCTGGTCACAGAGGGTTAATACAACCTTCTGAGTATTTAAATGCCTTAAGTACTTTTGTATTTGATTTGGTGATTACACATGTACATGTCTAGCCTTAGAAATGTCTGAAACAAAGACAAAGTTTTACACACAAAGTAACCTGCCAAAAACCCAAACTAAACCAGAAAAAAGCTAAACATCTAACAACGGAGGTAGGATCAAGTAATACAGTACAGTCACGCTCTGGAATTATGCACTCATTCTAAACACTTTGCACTGTTACTTTTTTATTTTTTTATTTTTATTTTTATTTTTTTGAGACGGAGTTTCACTCATGTTACTCAGGCTGGAGTGCAATGGCATGATCTTGGCTCACCGCAACCTCCGCCTCCTGGGTTCAGGCAATTCTCCTGCCTCAGCCTCCTGTATTTTTTTATTTTTTATAGAGACTGGGTTTTTACCATGTTTGTCAGGCTGGTCTCAAACCCATGACCTCGTGACTCACCTGCCTCAGACTCCCAAAGTGCTGGGATTACAGGCATGAGCCACCACGCCTGGCTTGCACTGAGTTTTTAATAACAAGGATGTAACAACAATATTACATATTAAAAACTGAGTTTTTAATAATAAGAATAACAAGAATTCACTGATGTAAGCTCCAGAAAGACAGGAAAAAAACGTCATTTGGTTTACCACTGTAGGGCCGGGAAGAGTGCCTGGCAGAGAAGGAACTTGATATCCATCACCAAATATGGGAGTGTAATGAATGAGAACATGACATTAATACTATGTGAGCATGTTCCTATTCATTACCCTCCCATAAGAAGGGAGAAAAGCAGGGTACCAAAAAATAAAAAAGAAAGCTTAGCTAGAAGAACCAAAAACCTTAGAAAATGCTCAGTGATTAATTCCGGGGTGTGGATCCTGTACCAGGTGTCCAAGGGCCCCCATACCTTGACTTGAGAAAGCTCCTTCTGGGGAGCAGTGAGCTTCTTGCTAATCCTGCCCTTGGCCTTCAACTCTTCCACAGTCTTGTAAGAGTATTTGGGCTTCTTCTTGCTTCCACTTGGGTCTTTCCTCCACTGGCTCAGCTCCTTCTGAAACTCCTGAACCAAAAGGATGCAGTCAGATGAAGCAAGGAATGACCACTTTTTACAATAGCTGGAGTAACTGAGACCACTAACAGATGTCACTAGATTCATCTACAGGTTCTGGATGAAGGAAGGAAAGGATGCACCTGCATGACACCGAAACTATCTAATGACGCTCCTTGATCCCACTCGTCCTCTTACAAATACTGAGGTTCAGAAGGCAGGTGCACCAGATGGGCAGGAGAAACAAAAATAGAGGAAACAACACGTATGAGCACCTACTACGGCAGGCTCTATGCTAGTTTTAAAAGCACCTCATGTAAAACTTAGAAATGCAACGTAACGGATTTTTTAAAGTATGTAAAACCTTGTTTCTAACTTTAAAATGCAGATAAAGAAACAGGCCCTAACTCTCAAAGCAAAGGTATCTCTTAAGGGGCTCTGCGAAACCTTTCTACAGGAGGAGCTTAGGCAAGCTTATCCAACCTGCAGCCCAGGCTTTGAATACAGCCCAACACTACCCTGTCAACTTTCTTAGTCTGACGGGAGTAGCGTCCAGCCCACAGAAGTTGGTTTTGGGGTTGTCATGATGTTTTCTCATACAGTACTGGTTAAGACTTGTCATTTTTTTCTCTTCGAGTATCTACACATCTGGTTACTTTGGGAAAATCAGAGGATCAGGCAATACTGAGCCCACATCCTCATAAGCAACAACCACCTACAGCTGAATAAAGATTTACCTTCCAGACAGGCTACAGCCTCACCCCTGTGCCCCAGTCCCTACCACTCCTTATTGTCTGGCACCTGGCTCATCTTACTTGCTTCTGTGGTGTGCCTGGCACCTGTGGACTTCTGAGAATCCCTGACTCAAGAGTGGTTAATCCTACATTATCAAATGACTCTTTCATCAAAAGGTCAGTAACATGAAGCGTAACATGTTTCTTTGCAGCATCCTGCTTTCCCCCATAAATTCACATGGGAAAAGAGTAATTCTTCAATCAACAAAGTTGGCCCCTTCCATCACTGGGGAAAAGGGACACACAGCTGCCAGCAGATGGCTCCCTGCTGCACTTGGGATGAAACCCAAGACCTAAAACTGGCTGTCATGGCCCGTCCTGTGGCCCGCCCAGCCCTCTGAAGGCACTTCCCCTCTGCTTTGTGTACCACCCTCCTGCCGCAAGGGCTTCCTTTTTGGTTTAACCACCAAGCTCAGAGCCTCTCAGTGTCCTCTGGCTTCTCAGCTCACCCTTCCGCCAAGTCTCAACTGAAATGTTTCCTTTCTGGAAAGTTTTCCCTGACCAGCCTATTTATAAAAGTAGGTCACCACCACCTTCCAACCCCCAAGCTTCTTTTGTCGAGGCAGCCCCTAGCACCTTCTGCCATTTCAACTGCCACTTCCACACACGGCTGCCTGTTTACGCTCTGTCCGCCCTACGCTCTTTCATCACGGGGCCCCTAGCCCTCAGCCCAGTACCTAGCATACAGTACATACACAATAAATATCTGAGGACTAACAGAAGGAAGGGATGAATGAACAGCCATTAGAAATGGCACAGGACACCACCCACCCATATCTCCTGACTTCCAGTTACCTCTTCAGCTTCTTCTTCTGAGTCAACCACAGGGAAGTCTTGCATGGACTGCGTGGTACGCTCGGATCCATAAGCTCCCACAGCACCTTTTCCTTTTCTCTGCTTGGCTTCGATTGGGTTAATGATACCTGATCAATTTCAGCAAAAGATAAAAAGAGTCTTAAGAATGCAGCAATTCACGTACGTCTGTCAGCCACTCAGTGAAATGAGTCTCTTGCTCATTCCACAAAATAACATGCTACTCAGGAAGAAGAGCTATTCTCTGCCCTCAGAACACTACTCAAGTCCTTGTGATTTGAAACTTCTGAGCATTTATGCTACCACAGAACAGTCTGCTAACTATTTATATCCCAAATAGTTTTCCATTTCCACTTGGATTGTTTTTTTCTTTTTTTGGATGGAGTCTTGCTCTGTCACCCAGGCTGGAGCGCAGTGGTGTGATCTTGGCTCACTGCAACCTCTGCCTCCCGGGTTCAAGAAATTCTCCTGCCTCAGCCTTCTAAGTAGCTGGGATTACAGGCGCGTGTCACCACGCCCGGCTATTTTTGTATTTTTCGTAGAGACAGGGTTTCATCATGTTGGTCAGGCTGGTCTCAAACTCCAGACCTCAGGTGATCCACCCACCTTGGCCTCCCAGTGCTGGGATTACAGGTGTGAGCTGCCACGCCCTGCTCCGCTTGGATCGTTTTAGTGAACAGGAAGAAAACACCACATTTATAACTGAGAACTCCAGCATACTAAATTCTGTACTTCACTTCTTAGGAAGCCTCTATTAGGGAAAATGCAATAATTCAGATACTAAATTGATTCTGACTGAAGTGAAGCTGAATATAAGACTCCTCACATATTTTACGTAGTAGTTTGTATCTCCTATGTTTAACTTTTTTAGTTTTGTTTTTTTTTTTTAACTTTTTTATAATAAGTTTAAGTCCTAGAAATAAATGTTGTGTTTTTCTCATAAGAATTTACGACCAGGACCGCAACATTTAAATGAAGATATTCCCCGCACTCCAAATTTTCCATCCCTGCCTCCCTTCCATTTAGTACTGTTGAAGTCTCAATTAAGAACTACCTCAGGGCCGGGTGGTTGAGCCCAGGAGGTTGAGGATGCAGTGAGCTATGATCAGCCATGCCATTGCACTCCAGCCTAGGTAACAGACAGAGTGAGACCTTGTATCAAACAAACAAACAACTGTCCCCTCATTCTCATTCAGTGTATCTTTACGGAAGTTCATGTATTTTTCACATACCTAATGTTTTCAACACATAACCTGGATTTCACTTTAGTAATTATTTAGAGGCTGGGCGGAGTGTCTCAAGACTATAATCCCAGCACTCTGAGAGGTTGAGGCAGGTGGATTACCTGAGGTCAGGAGTTCGAGACCAGCCTGGCCAAGACAGTAAAACCCCATCTCTACTAAAAATACAAAAATTAGCTGGGCATGGTGGCAGGCACATGTAATTCCTGCTACTCGGGAGGGTGAGGCAGAAGAGTCACTTGAACCTGGGAGGCGGAGGTTGCAAGTGAGCCGAAATTGCACCATTTCACTCCAATCTGGGCAACGAGAGAAATTCCATCTAGAGGATACATTTGATTACATCTACTTGGCGATCACACATCGGAAATAGCTCAAGAAGAGGAAGGAATATTCCTGTGAGAAGAATCCAACTGTTTGGTTTGAATGGCTTTGGTCTCCAGAAGGTAAGACTGTGTTATCTTCTAGACAAAGATGGAGGTAACCAGTGCAGGATTTGCCCAGCTGGTTTTATATCCACATGGCTCTAGCTATTAAAAAAGCTACACACAATGTTTTTTTTTTTTTTTTTGAGACAGAGTTTCGCTCTTGTTACCCAGGCTAGAGTGCAATGGCGCGATCTCGGCTCACCGCAACCTCCGCCTCCTGGGTTCAGGCAATTCTCCTGCCTCAGCCTCCTGAGTAGCTGGGATTACAGGCACGTGCCACCATACCCAGCTAATTTTTTGTATTTTTAGTAGAGACAGGGTTTCACCATGTTAACCAGGATGGTCTCAATCTCTTGACCTCGTGATCCACCCGCCTCGGCCTCCCAAAGTGCTGGGATTACAGGCTTGAGCCACCGTCCCCAGCCCACACAATGTTTTATTGATATTCCTGAAGGACAAATAACCATTTCTGCAAAACTAAAACCCTTGTGAGTAGGGATGACAAACTCAAATGCCTTTAGGACCAAGAAAAGTTCACCTGGGTTGGGATGGAAGACTGCAGGGAGCTGTGGAGACTGCGTCCTAGAGAAAACCATGTCCATTGTCCCAGGAGCGGCTCTGATTTGCCTCAACTAACTCCTGCCAGGCAAAATCTAAAATTTAAGGTGAAACTGTCTCATTTTAAAATACTAGCAGCTAACTAATTTTTTTTTTCTTTTTTTTAGACAGAGTCTCACTGTATCACCTGGGCTGGAGTGCAGTGGCATGAACTCAGCTCACTGCAACCTCCACCGCCTGGGTTCAAATGATTCTCCTGCCTCAGCCTCCCGAGTAGCTGGGATTACAGGCATGCGCCACCACGCCTGGCTGATATTAGTAATTTTAGTAGAAATGGGGTTTCACAATGTTGGTCAGGCTGGTCTTGAACTCCTGACCTCAAGTATTCCACCTTTTCAGCCTCCCAAAGTGCTGGGATGACAGGTACGAGCCACCATGCCCAGCCTCATTTTTCTTATAGAAGCACTGATCAGGACCAAAAAAAAAAAAAAAAAAAGTCTGTCTTCCACCTGTTTGCAGCCTGTTTTAGACACCCTAACCCTTTCCTTCCTGTTGAAACAATTATTTTATTTAACTTGAGCTTTGATAAAGAAAGGGAGCTTAGGAGCGTAAATGTCTTGTGCTGGCAAACATTTGGCTGGAGAGAGAAAGTGCTTTTAAAAGGGAAAAGCAAACCACCTCTCCCAGTGCCCCTCTCCTTCCCTCTGCCTGGCCTCCATCATGCAAGATGACAAGGGTGCAATACCTTGTGCATTCTTCCCGAGGCCCCGTCCAGGGACGTAGCCCATCTTCTGAAGAAGCTTCTGTCCAATTCCTTTCGTGTGTCTTTCCCAGCTGCCGAAGTCCATGAAAGATTTGGTTCCTCCTGCAAAACCTTTCTGGCTGGGCTTAAAATTGCCACCCTGCAAAGAAAAATAAAAGTTGATGGAAAAAAAAACAAAAAGAAGAAAAATCTAAGAAAGTTTGGTCAACAGGAAAATGGCCTCAGTTATAGAGCACTATGAAGAGTGTCACATGAACCAGAAATGTGTGTGGTGTGTGTCAGGAAGGAAGAGATTGCACTGCACACTTCACACCTCACAGAAACCTGCCACCAAAAGGAGACACTCACAAACTGTGTTCCAGATGAGCTCCCTGGCTAGAAAATGCATGGGCTATAGTGACCTTTGAAGGGTACTACCAGGGTCACAATCCTGCAATAGAAACGTTACCGTTTTTAACTTCTTTGGTCCAAAATCCTTAGGAAAGTCATCCTGCTTAACAGGTGTCTCTTCGTCATCAGAATCTTCCAACTCTGCCTCCTCTGCCGCCCCTTTCTTGAGCCCCGCGCTGATAAAGTTGACTGGCGCAGAGTAGTCACGGGCCCTGCAGGCACAGAAACAGACCCCCCGGGGCCTGTAAAGAACTCCTTTCTCTGCAGAAATCCCTTTGCAGAAACTACGTGCTTGAGAACTCCTTAGAGTGAACCTCATGGGAGGTTTTTTAAAAAAGTTAACACTTTCTTTTAATACATCAAAAAATCAAAAGGACCCTAGATTTGGCTTCCTGTAGTCACACTTAACATTTTTACCTTGCATATTCCTCTACAGCTGAAGAGTTATTATTCAATGTACAGCTGATTATAAATTCAAAATATGATGTGATAATACAATTTTCCTACATTTAAAAAAATTAATTTATCATAAAAAGCATTTGTTTTGAAAACTATTTCAAGTACAAAAATCCAACAGGAGCAGAAATTTTGATGGATCATTGTGAATAAATAAAACCCATTGAAAGATCATATAAATGTAAAGTATGTAACATTTATATTAATCAAACTTAGAAAAAGCTCATATCCATCAAATTTATTTGAATGTGAAAATTTCCAGCTGGGGCAACATGGTGAGACTTCGTCACTACAAAAAATAAACAAAATTAGCCAGGCGTGGTTGTGCATGCTTGGGGCCCCCACTACATGGAAAGCTAAGATGAGAGGATGGCTTGAGCCCAGGAAGTTGAGGCTGCAGTGAGCTCTGATCATGACACTGCACTCCAGCCTGGGCAAAAGAGCGAGACCTTGTCTCCAAAAAAAAAGGAAAAAAAAGAAAATTACACTGAAGTCCCCTAAGAAATAAGAAATTAACTCTGTAAAAATGAAACATACTGATTGAAACTCTGACTGCTTCAAGCACTTACATTGTCATTAACCTCAGCTCCTTTTTGTATAAAATGAAGTTGATATATTTGTACTGTGTGGTTTAAAAAAGAAAAAATTACAATGAAAGACCCTGGAGCTGGGCACAGTGGCTCACGCCTGTAATCCCAGCACTCTGGGGGGCTTGAGGCCAGGAATTCGAGACCAGTCTGGCCAACATGGCAAAATCCTGTCTCTAATAAAAATACAAAAAATTAGCTGGGTGTGGTGGCACACGCCTATAATCCCAAGCTACTCAAAACACTGAGGCATGAGAATCGCTTGAACCCAGGAGATGGAGGTTGCAGTGAGCTGAGGTTGAGCCACTGCACACTCCAGCCTGGGCAACTGAGCGAGACTGTGTTTCAAAGAAAAAAAAGGAAAAAACCCTGGGAATATAGCAAATAAAGTGATCCTTTGTAAAATGACCAACCTAGTAATTCAACGTCCCCACGGCAACAACAGAATTCAGGGAGTTTTTTCCTAAAGATATATAATGTAATTTAGTGGTCCAGATCCCAAACTCTGGAGTCAGATAGATAGGTTCAGGTTCCGACTGTAGCTTAGCCTCTGCCTAGCTGTATGACCATGAGTCTCAGTCTCTTAATCTGTAAAATGGGAATAATAATGGTACCTTTCTCATTAGGAAAATTAATCCAGGTCTGTGAAATAGCCAGAACAAGTAAGCAGCGAAGAGATGTTAGTTATTATTATCTTATGTTTATGCAGTTCTTGATCCCTGATCTATCTGTCATCCACTTTCAGACTTCCTTGTGGATGAGAAGAGTTTGGACTAATCTCTATACTGTTTCTACCCCAGCCTCCTTTGAAAAAGGCATACTCTTGGTCAGGTGCGGTGGCTCATGCCTGTAATCCCAGCACTCTGGGAGGCTGAGGCAGGCGGATCACGAGGTCAAGAGATGGAGACCATCCTGGTCAACATGGTGAAACCCCATCTCTATTAAAAATACAAAAATTAGCTGGGTGTGGTGGCGTGCACCTGTAGTCCCAGCGACTCAGGAGGCTGAGGCAGGAGAATCACTTGAAACCAGGAGGTGGAGGTTGCAGTGAGCCGCCAAGTTTGCACTACTGCATTCCGGCCTGGCCACAGAGCGAGACTCCATCTCCAAAAAATAAATAAATAAGGAAAAAGGCACACTCTCAATGGGATGGAGCCTAGAGGCCACAGGTGAGGCCATGGAGGAAAAAAAACCCCAACCTGGCACACCCTGGTGGAGTGAGTTTTAGCCAGGGCACATATAATCTTGCGCTGGGGAGATGAATCCTCATCACCCACCACTATCCCAGCCCAGGCCGCCACTACCTCCGCAGGGACCACTGGCCTGGCCTCCTCACGTCACCACGCTATCTTCCACTGTGGCTCCGCGCCTACTGAGCACACCAGCAAAAGGGTCTTCTCAAAACATAACCCAGCCCCACATCACACCCTCTCTATCACACACTATGCTCCCCTTCCCCCTCTCTGCTCCAGCCCCCAAAGCCTTTCATATCCTTGTGGACACTGTGATGCCTCCTATCAAGGGCTCTGCATACTCAGGCCTCTTCTACCACCCTAGTTACCTTCTACTGTCTGTCATAGCAGCTTAAGGGTCACTTTTCTCCAGAGAAATCTTCCCTGACCTCTCGGAATAGGTGAAATGCCCTAAAATATGCTCTCCCTCATGTCCTACATCTCAGTTACAAGTTTCATGGTCTGAGTTGTTAATGTCTGTTTCCCTCTTCTAGAGTCTGTCTGGGCTCCAGGAAAGCAAGCATGGGTCTATAGCACAGGCCAGATACATAGTAATCGCTCAATAAACACTGATAATTAAATCAGTGAGGCCAGGCATGGCGGCTCATGCCTGTAATCTCAGCACTTTGGGAGGCCAAGGCAGGTGGATCACCTGAGGTCAGGAATTTGAGACCAACCTGGCCAACATGGCAAAACCCCTTCTCTACTAATAATACAAAAATTAGCTGGGGGTGGTGGCGTGTGCCTGTAATCCCAGCTACTCCAGAGACTGAGGTACAAGAATCACTCTCCGGCAGAGGTTACAGCGAGCCAAGATCATGTCACTGCACTCCAGCCTGAGTGACAGAGTAAAACTGTATCTCAAAAAAACAACAACAACAACAAAAAAAATAAAATAAATTGGTGAAAGAACAGCACTCTAGCCTAAAGAGGAAACTGGGCCTCTTGAGATGATGTCACAACTAACAGTCTCAACAAGGCCAGGTGAGAAGTATACTTATCAAGGGATCCCCCCCACTCCCTGTCCATCTTCCTCCTCTTCCCTAAAACAAGGTGAAGGAGCCCCCATGCCAGGCAATACCGTTTGCCTCCAAAGCTGGGCCTCTCCTCATCGGAGTCTCGCTCTGCCCACACCCCGTAGGTGGCTTCTTCCTTGGTCTGCCAGTGGCGCTGTCGGTTGGGGTTGAACTCATTCTGGAGATCCCAGTCGGTGATCTCAAAGTTCTCCCGCTCGTCATCATCATCATCAATGCGGTCTTCCCCATCCCGGTACAAGTGGGACAGTGACATGGCCAGTCACTAAAGGAAGAGACAAAAAGGGCACAGTCCAGAATAAGTCCTGGGGGCAGCAGCAGGAGGATTCCTCTATTCCTTGCTGCCTTCAGAACTTTCTCCAAATTCAAAGTCCATTAAAATTGGCATTACTGTTCAATAAAATAGATATTAAAAACATGTTTTTAGAAAACAATCAGTACTAAAACAGGTGAACAAAATACCGGTCCCAACAGTCTATGATTCTTTCAAAGTACATATTTCCTTGTCCTAGTCAATATCACAAATATCACACACATTCACACATACATAAACCACACAAAAAGATCGAAGTAGGTTATTGTATACAGTATTGCCTTAGAAAATGGGTGGATAGCTTCTTAGATCCCACATTCCTTTATTTTTTCTATTACTGAGGAAAGAATTATATCTGGATTCTTGGTGGTCCCAGGAGAGTGATTTTTTTAGAATATGTTTTTTGAAATACACTACTTGATGAAACATAATTTTTAGTTTTCCTTGCAAGACGTGAATTTCTTCTGATGAGCTAAAAAACTGTAGTAATTATGAACACTATTTTAATAGTCAGATGTCCAGGGACTGAAATAAAGAATCTACCTCATGGTAGCTGGGGGATGAGATTCAGTGGTCTTTCTTAAATTGGGATAAAATACTATACCCACCTTAGAGAATGCTTATAAGGCAAATTCAATGAGTTCAAAATAAGTGCTCAAGAAACCATAGCTTCTACTGTAGTCCCATGATTAGGTTAATCATTGTATTAGTCAGGGTTGTCTAGAGGGAGAGAACTAATGGAATATACACGTATATATATAGAGGAATACATATAACGGAATATATATATGGAATATAATATATATATTCCATATATTGTTATATATATATTCCATTAGTTCTGTCTCTCTTAATAAATTCCCATATATATTCCATATATAAACTCCATAAACTCCCATATATATAAAATATACTTAATACACTCCCATATATTTATGTATATATATGGGAGTGTATTAAGTGTAAACTCACACCGTCAAGGTCCTACAATAGGCCGTCTGTTGGCTGAGGAGCAAGGAGGGCCAGTCCGAGTTCCAAAACTGAAGAACTTGGAGTCCGCTGTTCCAGAGCAGGAAGTATCCAGCACCGGAGAAAGATGAAGAGGCTAGGCCTCTTCACATTTTTCTGCCTGCTTATATTCTAGCTGTGGTAGCAGCTGATTAGATTATGCCCACAAAGATTAAGGGTGGGTCTGCTTTTCCCACACCACTGACTCAAATGTTAATCTCCTTTGGCCACACCCCCACAAACACACCCAGGATCAATACTTCATCTCCTTCAATCCAATCAAGTTGACAGTATTAACCATCACAATCATCATTACTATTATTGGACTAGGAAGTAAACTTAACAAAGTGATTGCAAAAATCAGGCACGCTAAAATCAAAGCCTGAGTTCAAATTCAACTCTACCACCAGATACTCAGTGTCTGAGTACTAGATGCACGCGAAGTGCCAAGCATGGTGCACTACACAATAATACATTCAATAGGTGACAGCAATGGTGATTCTTGTCTTGCTGAAAGCGGCCTTAAGGCATATGGAATTCACTGCTTCCACAGGCCAGTGTCAAACTCTGGTCAACTCTGGCAAAACGTTTTCCTTGCCGCCTTCTACTCACTGGTGCCCTGGTTGGGTGCAGCTGGTCCCAACCTCTTCCAGGAGTGGATAGGAAGGAAGGTTCTCAGAAAAGGTGGGGAATCTCAGACATATAAGGTTAAATAATACCAATGTCTCCGTGGGCACAGGGCGTGGTGATAGGCCCCGAGTAGTCACAAATTATGAAGCCCTGATCAGTAGAAGCTAGGTACATGCTGGTCGTTTGAGACCGATTATCAACTGTCTGCATCAAGACACTTTTACGAGGTAGTTAGTTACCCTTAGGTTTCATGCTTCAGAGAAGAAGGAGGTTCAGAGAAGTTAGTAACTTACCCTAGGTTCCACTGCCTATAGGGCTCAAACTCAGGAGTGCTAGAAGCCAGGCCTCGGGCTTGTCTCTCTCTTGTTGTCTAGGTTTGGCGAAGGACGCTCAGGTTCTTAACTGACCCCAAGCAGCACCGCCCTTCTCCGTGCCTCGACAGAACTGTCTGCGAAATGGAATCCCCTCCCCACCCCCACATCGGCTTGGGCCGAGGCTCGCCTTCCCTGAGCCGGAGCCCTACTCCCACTGTCCCTGAGTCCCCTCGTCGCCAGCCCTACTCACCTCTCCAAGATTCCAGCGTACCGAACTCAACTCACAGTCCGAGAAAGAAGGCAGTCTCTCCTACGCCAGACACCGGATGCACCGGGGCCGTCGCGCCGGAAATGACGTTGTCGACAGCGGATGTCGCGCTGGCTACACGGGTGGGATGGAACGCTGCGGCGGATTTGCCTGTAGAATGGCGGGCTGGGATCTTAGAAAGGAGGGTTGGATTTGCAAGGCCCAGAATGATGGCTGGGGAGTGGTTTCCCCGTGAAGTCAGCCTCCCTGCCGCGCCTGCTTCGCACTGCGACGCTCAGCCTGTGATGGCTGCCGTGGAATCCGCTGAGCCATCTTGGCCTAAGGAGACTTTGCCACTCTGAGATTGTAAATCTGTAAAATAGAGATAGAGGATTAGCCCATAGGGTAGTTGTGGTAAATACTGTGAGATGATAGGGTGCCTGGGACGCAGCATTCAGTTGGGAATAATGAAGATCAAAACTGTGTCTCCTGTATCTTTGGCTCTGTCTGTATCATAAGCACCGTCGTGGGCAGAGGGCAGTGTCCTTTATGCAGGAGTTTAAGAGGGAGTGAAGGAATGAATGGGCAAACTCTAGAGTTCCCAAGTATTCTCTCCAGGAGACGTTTCCATTCTCCTCATTTCCAGCAGGTTGGTAAATTCATTCATTTATTCACTGATTTAATTAAAATATACTGAGTGCCCCTCACCTGTGCTAGGCCAAGGTGATATAGTGAGCAGAATACTCATGGGCCCTCCCTGGGAAGCCCTAACTATTCCTGGGACTTTGTGTAGACATTTAACTGTACACAGGCTCTGGAGTTCCAACCTTGACTCTGCAATTTAGCAGCTGTGGACCTTGGGCAAGCCTAAGAAAACATGTAAGCGAGTTTTCTCTTCTGCAAAATGGTTAAGGATTCAATAAGATAAAACTGTAGGCCATGAAAACTGTGCCTGGCACACAGTAGGTGCTGAGAAAGAGTCAGCTATTAATTGTTGCTTAATTTTTCTCTCTGCTCTATGTGATGAAAAGATCCAAGAGACGATTGTTGGAATGTAAAAAGAGCATGGGGACTTGGAGTCAAATACTTACGTCTGCCATCAAATGGTTGTTAAGAATTAAACAATTTTTGTGTACCCAGTCAAATGTGGGCTTCTTAGCAATGGTGACTGTGTCTTAATGATCTCTGTATTCCTAGTGACATGTAGAGTAATTGTGCCTGACACATAGCATGTACTCCGGAAAGAAAGAAAATGTAGTTTTAGCCGGGCGCGGTAGCTCAAGCCTGTAATCCCAGCACTTTGGGAGGCCGAGGCGGGTGGATCACGAGGTCAAGAGATCAAGACCATCCTGGTCAACATGGTGAAACCCCGTCTCTACTAAAAATACAAAAAATTAGCTGGGCATGGTGGTGCGTGCCTGTAATCCCAGCTACTCAGGAGGCAGAGGTTACGGTGAGCCGAGATCGCGCCATTGCACTCCAGCCTGGGTAACATGAGTGAAACTCCGACTCAAAAAAAAAAAAAGAAAAGAAAAAAAAAAGAAAATGTAGTATTGAAGGCTGAGAGAGAGGGTCTAACAGACTACAAGGCCCACCAGGAGCAGAGTGAGGGAAACAAGGGGAAAAAAGTGTTTTTAGTCTGTGCCTGAATGTATATACATCTGTTTGTAGCCCAAAAGCCAAAAATGTACATAAGCTTGGCTTTTCTGTAGCTATGTTTATGGCTTTACAGCAGATTTTATGGAGCCACAATTACTTTGATCATGAGGGACTGATGCTAGGGGATTTGCTTTACCAAATGGATCTCACTCTGTGGCTTCTGGAGAAGGGACCTTTGTAGACTGTCATGGGGTGGTTAAGAGTGCAGGCTCTGATGTAGTGATGAGAGTCTGCATTGTCAGGAATGAGACAAAGCGAAGTCACGTGACACTTGATAGGATGCCCTGAGAAGATGCCAACATCACTCTTGTGACATTCCTGCTGAACATCCATAACCTGAGTGTAATCCTGAGGATACATCAGACAAACCCAAATAAAGAGACATGCTGTATACAAAATGGTAATCTTAGAAAGTGCCAAAGTCATGAAAATCAAAGACCCTTGAACTGCTCCAAACTGAAGGGGACCAAAGAGGCGTGACAACTAAACACAACACATGATTCTGAACTGGATCATTTTGCTTGAAAGGAAGTAATAGGGACAACCGGAAAAGTTTAAATGGGGCCTAGGATGCCATGGTAATCACGTGTCCATGTTAATTTCCTGATTTTCATGGTTGCCTGTGAGTTACATCAGAGGATGTCCTTGTTTGTTGGAAAGTAAATTAATGTATTTGGCAGGGAATAAGGCATCAGATGGTCTCCTTAATCTCAAATTATTATGGGGAAAATGTTTCTCTCTGTACTTACAACTTTTTTGGTAATTTTTAAAAATGAAAGCTCTTTAGTAAAAACTTCAAGGATCCAAATCTCCACTTCACGACTTCTCAGATGAGGGACTGAGGGCAGGTTGCTTAACCTCTCTGCACCTCAGTTTTTCCATCTGTAGATTGGGGATAATGACAGTACTGCTCTAAGAGTAGTTTTCAGAAAAACAAAAACAGAAAGTGGTAATTAATGCGTGTAAAGCTCCTGGCATGGTAGGAGCTTCCTAAATGGTTGTGGCTATATTCTTATTTATTTATTTTTTGAGGCAGAGTCTCACTCCGTCGCCTAGGCTGGAGTGCAGTGGTGCCATCTTAGCTCACTGCAACCTCTACCTCCCAGGTTCAAGTGATTCTCATGCCTCAGCCTCTTGAGTAGCTGGCATTACAGGCACCCCTGTAGTGATTCTCATGCCTCAGACCCCTATGTAGCTGGCATTACGCCACCACACCCAGCTAATTTTTTTTTTTAATTAATTTTTTTTTTTTTTTTTGAGACAGTCTTGCTGTGTCACCCAGGCTGGAGTGTAGTGGTACAATATCAGCTCACTGCAACCTCCACCTCCTGGGTTCAAGCAATTCTACTGCCTCAGCCTCCCAAGTAGCTGAGATTATAGGCATGCGACACCATGCCTGGCTAATGTTTGCATTTTATTAGAGATGGGATTTCACCATGCTGGCCAGGCTAGTTTCGAACTCCTGACTTTGTGAACCGCCTGCGTTGGCCTCCCAAAGTGCTGGGGTTAAACAGGCATGAGCCACTGTGCCCAGCCTAATTTTTGCATTTTTTGTAGAGATGGGGTTTCACCATGTTGGCCTGGCTGGTCTCAAACTCCTGGCCTCAAGTGATCCACTCACCTTGGCCTCCTAAAGGGCTGGGATTACAGGCACGAGCCACTGCTCGGGCCTTCATTTTTAAGAAAACCAGTATCATACCCCTCTCAGTCTCAAAAATCCATGGTTTTTCAGGATTTCTGGCATCAAATGCCCAGCCTTTGAAAAACAAGGAAAAGTTTTACAGGACAACCAGAGCTTTAGGTTCAAGGTCTCATATCTCTCCTGATCTCCTGTCATTTCCCAGGGGGAAGAAAATGAAAACGTTGCTTTGGGATTTGGGAACATCCACACTCATGTCTACATTCCCAGTGAGGTGCTCAGACGTGGCCTTCGCAAAAGGGGTTGCCAAGCAGCAAGGCTCCTTGGGCAGGAGGAGGCTGGCAGAGCACTCCAACATTCATCGGTCGATACCTCTCCTTTCACAGCTGATGCAATGGGAGAGGCTGGCAGAGGGGAGGTGCCAGCACCACACAGTGAGTTTAAGGATAGGGTCAGGCCGGAAACCCAAGTCCAAACTCCCAGGCTGGTGCTTGCTTTGCAAAACCATGCATAGGGTCCTTTGTGTTCAGGGCCACAGAGCCAAACTCTGCAGACATCATCTCTTAGATTCCTCAGCCTTCTAAGGTAGTTTGTTATAACCCCAGAGTCCTCATTCCTGACCTCTTATTTCTGCAGCCTATGCCATACCTCACCCTTTCCATATTGCCTACAAAAAATTTGGGGGAAAAAAATCCTTGCTCAGTTACAACTTTAAATAGGTTGGTACCATAGAAACAATCTATAAGTGGCATTTCAAAGCTGATATATTTAAAGACTAGCACATGTACTTTTTCTAGGACAGTGACATTATACAGTTGCACATGGCTTATTCTTATTTTGCATTTTGTCCCAAAAATATATATGGTGTCCTGAACTTGGCAGAATTGAGAACCCAGATCAGCTGAGATTAGCAATTTGATTTCCCTCTAAATGTTTCTTACAGATGGTTTCTACCCTACTTATCTTTCAAGAATTCGTGAAGACTCTGTCCTTATATAGAAAGCTGGAACATAAGGTTCCATAGGCTCTGGGTGTTATCTGTAAATCAGATATCCTCCAAACACAGTAAGGTGAGGAACCACAGCCTTCATCATTCATTTATTCATTTAGTCATTAACAAATATTTAACGAGTACCTATGTATTATCTATTGCAGTGTAACAGTTACCTCCAAATTTAGCGGCTTGCCAACAACACCAGTAAACATTGTCTTACATAATTTCTTTTGGTAGGAATTTGAGAGTGGCTTAGCTAAGCGGTTCTGACACAGGGTCTTTCATGGGGTTGCAGTCAAGCTGTCGGCTGGGACTGCAGTCATCTGAAGCCTTGACCAGGGCTAGATGACCAGCTTCCAAGGTGCTTCTCTCACAGAGCTGCTAAGCTGGTGCTGTTGTTGGCAGGTTTCAGTTTCTTCCCATGTGAACCTCTACATGTGGCTACCAAGTGTCCTTATGACATAGTGGCTAGCTTCCTTCAAAATGAGCAAAGCAAGAGAGAGCAAGGCAGAAGCCACAAGGTCTTTTATGGCCTAGTCTTGGAGTCACACACTGTCATTTCTGCAATATCTTTTTGTTTTTTGTTTTTTGTTTTTGAGACTGAGTTTCGCTCTGTTGCCCAGGCTGGAGTGCAGTGGTATAATCTCGGCCCACTGCAACTTCCGCCTCCCAGGTTCAAGCAATTCTCCTCTCTCAGCCTCCAAAGTAGCTGGGACTACAGGCGCATGCCACCATGCCCGGCTAATTTTTGTATTTTTATTAGAAACGGGGTTTTACCATATTGGCCAGGCTGGTCTCGAACTCCTGATCTCAAGCAATCCACCCGCCTCAGCTGGTTAGGAGTTCAAGACCAACCTGGCCAACATGGTGAAACCCTGTCTTTACTAAAAATACAAAAATTAGCAGGGCATGGTGGCAAGCACCTGTAATCCCAGCTACTGGGGAGGCTGAGGCAGGAGAATTGCTTGAACCTGGGAGGCAGAGGTTGCAGTGAGCCGAGATCACACCATTGCACTCCAGCCTGGGTGACAAGAGTGAAACTCCATCTAAAAAAAAAAAAAAAAAAAAAAACGTTGTTTTAAGTCACTCAGTTTGGGGCTAGTTGGTTGCCAAGAGATGAGTGGAACAATGAATGAGACTGGATGTCCTCTACTACCCAATGACTGGTGACCAGAAGCTTCCTGGGTCTGTAATTCCATCAGCTGTCCATCCCTTACCCTGGAGGGGTAGGGGATTTATTCTTTGGGTAGACATAGGTAAGAAATTTTTTTTTTTTTTTAATGAAAAATTGCCAAGCCCTTTGGAGGCCCTGATGGCTCAACCAGGTTAGCAGCTGCTAACGAGGGTGGAGATCTGTATTCAGTCCATCAGGCATATGTGCAGAAGACTGTTCTCCAACCCCATGCCATGACTACAGACGGCTGGCTATCAGCCGGACAAACATTCATCCTGATGAGAAGATATGGATGGTTCATCACAACCTATCTCTTATTTCACAATGTAATAGTAATCATTATAGCTACTATTTACTAAGCCTTCACCATGGGGCTGTCAGTCTTCATTGCTTCGCTCTACTAAACTAGATAATGTGTTTGCTTATCTCACGTTTCTCGTGGGTTGGGATTCCTCTTAACCATCCCCTGAGATCCCCCTGTAGTTCTTATCCATTTACTCCCATTTTACAGAGGAAAACCGAGGCTCAGAGGAGTAGAATTACTTGGCCAGTCACAGTTAGAAAGTGGTAGAGCCAGGATGTGACGCTAGTTGTGACTCCAAAGCTAATTATATATAATAATAGCATCCAAGTAATATATAGATTACCACGTTTTCATAAATGGCAGATTACAGAATCAGAATGCATGTTGCCCAAGCTGGACAGAGGATGGGCCAGGGCACAAGTGACGGTCAACCCACTGCTCCAAGGGACCCCCAAGAAAGGCTCTAGAACAAGGCTCTGATTTCACAGTGAGACGACAGTTCTGCCCAAATCAGGGTGCATGGGTGGAATTAATTTTTAAAAAGTTAATATGTATGCCTTTCACCCCAGCAATTCTACTTCTCATTTTGCAGAGGCTCACTCATACGGTGGCACCACGAGGTTATATATGCAGGAGAATGTCCACTGCAGCTTTGCCAATAGCAGTGAAAATTGGTAATGGCCCAAGGACCTAGCCAAAGTGAAATGCTCAAAAAAGATGGTTTGCTTTAGAACAGGCGGCTAGTAAAAGGAGTGGTGTTAAATCAGCACATGTTCACATCAGCAATGCTCCAGGAGCCAGGGGCAGGGGCTCGTGCCTGTAATCCCGGCACTTTGAGAGGCGGAGGCGGGATTGCTTCAGCCCAGGAGCTTGAGACCAGCCTGGGCAACATAGTGAAATCCCATCTTTACAAAAAATAAAAAATTAGCCAGGTGTCATGGTCCAGCCAGTCGGGAGGCTGAGGTGGAAGGACTGCTTGAGCCCAGGAGTTAGAGGTTGCAGTGAGCTGTGTTTATGCTACTGCAATCCCACCTAGGCAACAAAGCAAGACTCGTCTCCAAAACAACCACCAGGGCAATTTGTTAAATCACACTTTCATACATCTTTAAGATGATAATATTTATATGTTCAAAAATTCGAAGTCTGGAAGACTACGTCCAAACAGAAAATGGTAGCGTTACCTTTATGGGAGAAAGGGGATATTGAAAAGCACAAATATAACCACTTGCATTCTTACTATGAATCCTTCTGATTGTCCCATGTTTTATAATATATTCACGTAGTACTCTACACAAAATCTTTTCAGATCAAATCAGGGGAGATGAGCCTAATTTTTTTCAGGGGAACAAGACCCAATGCTACGACTTGGGGGCTAGAAACAGAATCTGTGCCTTCCTTTCTCTCACCTATTTTATTTTTTATTTTATTTTGGACGGAGACTCACTCTGTTAGACGGAGTGCACTGACATGATCTTAGCTCACTGCAACCTCAGCCTTCCAGTTTCAAGAGATTCTCCTGCCTCAGCCTCCCAAGTAGCTGTAATGACAGGCACGTGACACCATACCTGGCTAATTTTTGTATTTTTAGTAGAGATGGGGTTTTGCCGCGTTGGCCAGGCTGGTCTCAAATGCCTGACCTCAGATGATCTGCCTGCCTCGGCCTTCCAAAGTGCTGGGATTATAGGTGTGAGCCACCGGGCCCGGCCTCTTTATTTTCTTTCAGCGTTTTCCTAGGAAGTTCTGTGACTATTCAGGGTCTTCATGGATGGACCACTCATAAAAGGTGGAACTCCTGGAACCAGACATAAATTTTTTTTTGGTGTGTGTGGGGGAGGGGATGCACAGCTGTCACCAGATTCTCAAAGGGACAATGTCACACTTAAGCAGAGCCGGAGAGTCATCCGTGATTGGTGAATGACCATTTCCCGGAGACTGTATGTCAAAAATTTCAAAAATAAAAAGAAGTAACTGCTGAAGAAATGAACAAAAAGGGTCTCATACCTTCAAAAAAGCCGAACTACCATTCCAGAGCAGTCTCAAGACAAGGAAAGACAAGAGCTGCCTCACACTGAGGACTCATCTGGTACCAAGGACCACTGCCAACATCATCCATTATCCAGCCCCCGTAAACCCATGAAGTTTAGCCTGGACAGCATAGAAAGACCTCATCTCTACAAAAAAAAAAAAAAAATTAAAAGTAGCCAGGTGTGGTGGCACATGCCTGTAGTCCCAGCTACTCAGGAGGCTGAGGTGGAGGAGAGCCCAGGAGACAGAGGCTGCAGTGGGCTAAGATCATGCCACTGCACTCTAGCCTGAGTGACAGAGCAAGATTCTGTCTAAACATACACACCCCAGAAACCATGAAGTTTTAACTTCCCCTTTTTACAGATCGAGAGAGGAAGGATCAAGCCATACAGCCAGTAGGTCAGCCTGACTCCAAAAATCTATTACCCCAAGTCACAGTAAGTCAAGGAGGTAGGGTAAAACACCTTCACCCTTAAAGATATAAACTTGTTGTAGGCCCAGTTGGTCCCTCAGCATTTGGGGACCGTGCCATAAAGGGTTAACTCAGCAGGCTTGAAGTGTCCAAACCCAGCACATCTCAAAGAAAAAAACTGGCCTTCGTGGGTTCCTGGGAGATAACCTCTAAGTCCTTGGAATATCCTCCCGAATAGGGGTATCTCTGTATACCTGAGGCCTTGGGCCATGCCAGGCCAGACAGTTTGTGATGATACTGTGATTTATAGTGGGGACGTTGGGCCATGCTGTGTCATTTTGACCTCTGGAGCAGCTAGTGATAAAGTAACTAAAGTTAGTCATGTGATTGCCCTATGTGACTGACATGCAACAAAAACCTAGACCTCAAGGCCAGGTGAGCTTTCTGGCTGGTAATATTTTGTGTGTGTTGTCACATATGATTGCTGGGAAATTTAAGTGTGTCTGTGAGACTGCCCTGGGAGAGGACAACTGGAAGCGTGAGGCTGGTCTCTCCTGGACTCTGCCCTATGCTCCTTTTTCTTTTACTGATTTTATTTTGAGACAGAGTCTTGCTCTGTCACCCAGGCTGGAGTACAATGGCATGATCTCAGCTCACTGCAACCTCCGCCTCCCGGGTTCAAGCGATTCTCCTGCCTCAGCCTCCTGAGTAGCTGGGATCACAGGCGCCCACCACCACGCCCAGCTAATTTTTGTATTTTTAGTAGAGATGGGGT